ATGCGGAACAGTTTAACGCACATAACAATTTTTTACTATTTCACTCTCTTCCCCCCCACTCTCTCTCTATCTATCTATCTATCTATCTATCTATCTATCTATCTATCTATCTATCTATCTATCTATCTATCCCTCTGTCTCATTTTGTCCATCTCTCATTTTCTGTATAATCTTGTTAATCTCTCTCTCTTCTTCTCTCTCTCTCTCTCTCTCTCTCTCTCAACTTGTTTCACTTTTTTTCTGTCTTTATCTTTGTTCTTTTCATCTTTCTCTCTTTCGCTTTTTCTCTATCTCAGAGTGTTTAGCTCTCTCTCATTTTCTCTCTCTCTCTCTCTCTCTCTCAACGTCTTCACCTTCCCTTTTCTCTCTCTCTCTCAGACTGTTAAGCGTTTTCTCTCTCACTTTATCTTTATCTCTTTCAACTTGTTCACTTCTCTCTTTCTTTCTATCTCAGACTCTTCAGCTTACTCTTTTTTTCAACCTATTCCTAATTTTCATTCTCCCTCTGTCTCGCCTTGTTAATCCCCCTCTTTCTCCTCGTCTATCTCAGTTTGTCCATCTCTATCTCTGTCTCCCAATGTATTATCTATCTGTCTAGGGTTTCTATTGTAGAGTAGGGTAATGGTAAACAAGTATCGATCGATTATCGATTATTCTGATTTCTTTCTTTTTTTTTTTTTTTTTTTGTCTTATTCCCCAGTGCGATGGAATTCTCTGCGACGGACCATCTTTTGCCAATTCGGCATCCACCGTTGTCGATTGTCGAAGAATCGATGAGGGTAAAATCGGTTTCTTCCGCATCGGCCTGGTTCCCAAATCTCGCGTGGAGGACATCTTTGAGCAGATCCAAGCAAAACATAGTAGGGAGAAATCAATATCCCGGCATTTGTCAACGCGCAGTATCAATGAAGCTTTTAACAGTGGCACTTGTAATGGCGATCCGGAAAATGGCGGACAGATCAACGCTGCGTTCGAAGATGACGAAAAGGACGAGGTTAACGATAACAGCGATGATCAGAGATTCAAAATCGGTAAGGATAGTTGGCAAGAATCTGATATCCACATGTCCGTTTCCAATCAGTTCTTTCGCAATTTGCCTTATTCCACTGACGGATGTTTGATGAAAGGCATGACGTCATTGGAACGACCAGAACGAGGCAAACGAATCGTTTCGGTTGCACCAGAATTGAATGAAGCAGAAGCGTCACAACAGGTCAGTCATTTGATTAAAAACCTTGAAAAGCTCCTGAATGATTCACCTGGAAATAATATGACGTTGTTCCTTGAATCGGAGATGATCAAGTTAATAACAAAACTCCAGAACAGACCACGGGTCGGCGATCAAATGTATAATCGTGACGAAGATGATGACTATGAGAAAATGAACTTTGGAGGAGAAATAAATTCTATCGAAACATCCGTTATCGACCATACTCTGAACAAAGTCTTCACCATTAGTAACTCTAGCGGTAGAAGTGATCAATCACTGGCGTCATTGAAATCTCGTGGGAGACGAGAATTACGGGAAGAGATTAATAAATTTGTACTGAGCCGAAGAGAAAAAACTAGTAACAAAAACAAAATTATCAACGATTTTAAAAACTCTTCGACTGGTATTTACACAACAACTTTGGAGATAAATATCGACCCGAATGGACACACCCAACCGACTTACCCATTCGATAATCAAGGCGGGACGGCTTTCAAACAAAAATCTTCAACTCCGTTACTGGAAACTATCATCAATTCCCAGAAGCAGAGAGAGAAAGAGACAACTTCGAAGAAGCGTCTTTATCCGCAGATTCGAATTCTTGACAATGATGTGGCCTTGTTGGAAAGAGAAAATGCGAAAAAACTGCTTCAGGATCAGATTGTCAAGAGTTCGTATACAGAACGGCCAACTAACGAAAATGGAGACCATGTTTATTCTTTCGCATTTACTGACAAATTTGGTAACCAAGTTCCTGATATACGAGAACAACCGCCGTCGCCTACGCTTGAACGTGTGGAATCACTGACTCAAAGAACATCACTCTGATTTGGAAAAAAAAAATGAAGAGTGTCTGCCATTTTGTTTGCAAAATTTGTTATTTGTTCGTTACGTTTGGCTTTTGTGGAGTTCTAGTCCTGCGTTGGCAGAAGGGGCTATGAAAAATGGCCTTGTTTAACTATTGCGATTCAAGTCGCATTTATTAAATTCATGAACAAGAATTACATTTCTTTCTTTCTGTCTGTCTACTGTCTGTCTGTCTTCTTTATTTTGTGGTGAGTTCTGTGTAATGATATGAAATATAAAGGCATGAAAAAAAAATTCGCGTTCGATTTGTGATTAGATCAATTATTTACAAGCACAAGAACAGGTTAGGAATTATCTTTAGACAGGATTATTAGACATCCAATCGGATAAATGGAGCGCCGTGTTTGGTTTAAAATTGCAACCTCCAATAATTCGGTGAAAAAAAAAGAGCCTTAAACTTAATAAAAACAAAGTTTTATCATCAAATTTTTATGTTATTATTAAGAGGAAAGACCAAAATATTTTTTTATTATTTTATTAAATTTTTAATCCTTTCTATACATGTTCAAAATTTTGGTTAAAAATCTTGTTTTTTTACGGCAGCGGTCGACGTTAATTTACGATAATTGTTTTAACATTTTTTTCCGTTGGAAAACAAATTGATTTAGAAATTCTTACAAAAATCAAATAATTGTCGGATTTTAATAAAAATTCCAGGACATACAAAAAAAAAAATTAAATTATTTTTTAATTTTTTTTAGAAAATGTGGTAAAAAAATATTTTTTTTACAAATGTTACCCGCCGCTTACTTAATTTCATGAAATTTTAAGAAAAGTTTCAATCTCAAAATTTTTTTTTATCAGTTAAAAGTAGGACCCCTCAGAGAATGTAAATCATCCATTCTTTTTTCCCGAAAATCTGCTCGGTATCGTAAAATAAGAAAATGCAATAAAACGATGACATTATTTAATTAGAAAATCTTTTAATTGCTTTTATAAATAAGATTTATTATTATTATTATTGTCTTAAGAAAAGTTTTTTTTCGATGAATAATGAATTTTTAGAAGAATTGTTTTCATTTTTTAAAGTTTTAATTATAATAATTTATAATATTATAAATCGTTTAAAATTCTGCAGAACTTCAATCCGGTTGGGTGATATTATTAATTGAAAACTATATTTACGAATAAAAATTGAAAAACTCAATAACAGTTGTTTACATCCAATATTTTTTTTACAGATCGCGACAGTTATTAAGCAGTGATTGAATATACTTGTTATAATGTTTAAGAAAATTATTCAGTATTATTGTTTAGGCAATAAGCATTATAATATAGCACAAATAGCTATATTGTGGAAAAAGGAATCTTCGACAATATATGCATTTTTTACGTATCTATCATTATTTTTTTTAACTTTTATCAAAGAGGTATATTCTCGTACATATACTTATGAATAATATTATACATTAATTACTAATTTTTAAATTAATAACTATTTGTGGTCAGTTGTTGACATTAATAGCTCTCTGCTGATTTGTTAAAATAATGCAATAATAAAAATTAAATTTCATCTTTCTGATAGATGTAGCGATCTGTAAATTTATATATATATATATATATATATATATATATATATATATATATATATATATATATATATATATATAATATTACGTAACTTGCCTCTGTTTGAAGGTATGGTCAACCATACACGACATAATCAGAAAATAAGAGTGATGACTATAGTAAATTTAAATTCAACATTCTTAAAATTAGATTACGGAGAATATTTTCTGACATTTTTAAGATTACTGAGTACTTAAGCATGATATATATATATATAAAAAAGGCGCTCACTCGTCATTTTCTTAAATTATGTCTTAACAGATCCAAATGTAGACCAACAGTAAAGGTGTTGACAGATTTTGTCATCACTTTTCAAGTGATCTATGAGTGACAAACGTCAGTGATAATCGAGTAATGACCGCTACCGTTTGTTTTAAAAATCCAATTCTCTGTTATAGTTACCTTTTATAGTCCTAGTAAAAATAGCTCTCTCAAAGAGGAGAGTAACAAAACAAGGGAAGACTACTCTTGATTATTCATAACATATAAACATTGTATAAATTGCTAGTTTTAGAAGTTCTCCCAAATTAGCAGTTTTTAAATTTATTAAACGTTAGTTAAAGAAAAACGCTAGAAAGCAAGACAGATTAGAAAATAGTCGTATATGAATAAACAAACACAAAAATTGAAAGGTTTGTTAATTTCTGGAAAAGATAGCAATTAGAAAAAATGAAAATATAAATAGGTATTTAAGCTTTAAATAATCGGAGATTTTGAAGCCATTATTTATAACATACAATCAAATAATTTATACTGTTTTTTTTTTAACTGTATTAACATCTAAACTATCAATTTAAAAAAAATGAAGACGAGTAGAAAGGACTAGAATCATAATAAGAAGGAGAAGAAGAAGGACAACAACAAATAGAGAAATTGATTTAGTCAAAGAGACTAACGTTATTAATATTTAACAACAATACAAAACCAAGTAATATCGTCTGCAAAACAATCAACTGTTCTTTCTTTTGATTCGAGAAAAAATTGTTGAAAATATCTTATTCATTTTTCTATGAATTCTTGCCCCGGAGAAATCGAGGTCCTTTTCTTTAGAAATAGTTTTTATTTTATTCTATTGTAGAGCCAAACTGAAATCGCTTCCGTGAGTAGAAGTAAATGTCATTTGGAACTTTAGTACCAGAAACTAAAATGGTCGCCGGAAGTATTTGATAAAATAAATGAACAGTTCTTGGAAATTCTATAGAGATTGCTTCTTATTTTGAAAAAAAAAAAAAAAAACTTAGAAAAGCATATGGCGGCCATTTTTTGTTGCTTGTTCATCTTGTAATTTATGTAAGCACATTTCTTGAGATTGACTAATTAAAAATAAAACAATTTTATTATTAAAAACAATAAAATTTCAACAAAATTCCTTGCAAAAAGAAATATGATTTGTTTCGATTTTAGGAAATGAGTGCGGCTGATAAATTCACCACCCCACCTTACAAATTTTGTGCTGTCTAGATGAGGTATTATGTACACTATTTACATTATTCGGACTATTGTCCTCATCTTTGTAGCCATATTTATCACCCTTCAGTATCTGTCTATATTTCTGAGATGAGGTATTATGTACACTATTTACATTATTCGTACTATTGTCCTCATCTTTGTAGCCATATTTATCACCCTTCAGTATCTGTCTATATTTCTGAGATGAGGTATTATGTACACTATTTACATTATTCGGACTATTGTCCTCATCTTTGTAGCCATATTTATCACCCTTCAGTATCTGTCTATATTTCTGAGATGAGGTATTATGTACACTATTTACATTATTCGGACTATTGTCCTCATCTTTGTAGCCATATTTATCACCCTTCAGTATCTGTCTATATTTCTGAGATGAGGTATTATGTACACTATTTACATTATTCGGACTATTGTCCTCATCTTTGTAGCCATATTTATCACCCTTCAGTATCTGTCTATATTTCTGAGATGAGGTATTATGTACACTATTTACATTATTCGGACTATTGTCCTCATCTTTGTAGCCATATTTATCACCCTTCAGTATCTGTCTATATTTCTGAGATGAGGTATTATGTACACTATTTACATTATTCGGACTATTGTCCTCATCTTTGTCGCCATATTTATCACCCTTCAGTATCTGTCTATATTTCTGAGATGAGGTATTATGTACACTATTTACATTATTCGGACTATTGTCCTCATCTTTGTAGCCATATTTATCACCCTTCAGTATCTGTCTATATTTTTGTATGTACACTATTTACATTATTCGGACTATTTTATCACCCTTCAGTATCTGTCTATATTTCTGAGATGAGGTATTATGTACACTATTTACATTATTCGGACTATTGTCCTCATCTTTGTAGCCATATTTATCACCCTTCAGTATCTGTCTATATTTCTGAGATGAGGTATTATGTACACTATTTACATTATTCGGACTATTGTCCTCATCTTTGTAGCCATATTTATCACCCTTCAGTATCTGTCTATATTTCTGAGATGAGGTATTATGTACACTATTTACATTATTCGGACTATTGTCCTCATCTTTGTAGCCATATTTATCACCCTTCAGTATCTGTCTATATTTCTGAGATGAGGTATTATGTACACTATTTACATTATTCGGACTATTGTCCTCATCTTTGTAGCCATATTTATCACCCTTCAGTATCTGTCTATATTTCTGAGATGAGGTATTATGTACACTATTTACATTATTCGGACTATTGTCCTCATCTTTGTCGCCATATTTATCACCCTTCAGTATCTGTCTATATTTCTGAGATGAGGTATTATGTACACTATTTACATTATTCGGACTATTGTCCTCATCTTTGTCGCCATATTTATCACCCTTCAGTATCTGTCTATATTTCTGAGATGAGGTATTAGATTATTTACACTATTTACATTATTCGGACTATTGTCCTCATCTTTGTAGCCATATTTATCACCCTTCAGTATCTGTCTATATTTCTGAGATGAGGTATTATGTACACTATTTACATTATTCGGACTATTGTCCTCATCTTTGTAGCCATATTTATCACCCTTCAGTATCTGTCTATATTTCTGAGATGAGGTATTATGTACACTATTTACATTATTCGGACTATTGTCCTCATCTTTGTCGCCATATTTATCACCCTTCAGTATCTGTCTATATTTCTGAGATGAGGTATTATGTACACTATTTACATTATTCGGACTATTGTCCTCATCTTTGTCGCCATATTTATCACCCTTCAGTATCTGTCTATATTTCTGAGATGAGGTATTATGTACACTATTTACATTATTCGGACTATTGTCCTCATCTTTGTCGCCATATTTATCACCCTTCAGTATCTGTCTATATTTCTGAGATGAGGTATTATGTACACTATTTACATTATTCGGACTAT